GCACCCGCGTGCCGGCAGGCTGCACACCCTTGATGTCGACATTATTCGAACGTATTAAAATATAATTCTTTTAAATGAAAATAGGTAAAATGAGAAAAAAACAATATTTATCATCTGTAATCAAAAGAATTTATTTCTTTTTCAAAGAAAGTTTCAAAGAAAACACTGATCAGTCGTAAATTCGTTATTCATGAATGGAAATAATAATCTCAATAGAAATATTTTGAAAAATACGAAAATAATTTTTTTCAAAAATTAAAAAAGCAGAAAATTATGTTCATTTCATGAACATTTTTTACTTCATGCAAGAAATACAATTCTGACAACATTATATTAAAAATTTTATAAAGAAAAAGTTATTCCAAAAAATAAGAAAAACGATTTTTTTTTAAAATTAAAGTAGCAAATAATTTCATAAATTCTGATAAAATACATACTTTATATACATGAATCGATTCGTTTTCACAAAAATTTCTCAAAATTTTAATCGAGAAAGAAGTTATTTTTAAAAATATGAAAAATGATTTTTTTCAAAAATTAAAAAAAATTATTTATTAAAAATAAAATATGGACTTTTTATTAGTTAATCAATTCGTTTCAATGCAAGGAATACGTTTTTCAGTAAAAAAAATTGATTGCACAAAAGAAAAAAATTTTTTTCAAAAAAATCTATTTTTCGATTTTTGAAAAAAAGGCATAAAAAGAAATTGCATAGATATTTTTGGAAATCCTTGTGTCTGATTTTAGATATTGGTGAGTGCAATAACCCTACAAAATTTCAGGCTGATCCCTCAAAACGTGTTTGAGATATTTTGATAACAAGGAATTGGTGACATACACACACACACACACATATTTATCACCTTTACTCCACCACGAGGCCAAAAATATTCATTGCAAGCAATGGATACAATCAATTATATTGGTCAATGGTCGCGTTTCACCTGATCGAGCTTCCTAAGGTTAACGCACAATACATTCGGAAAACTGAGAACGATTACCAATTTAATTTTTATAAAATGTTTATGTTTATATTAGCAACGTACATTTTCATGCATTCGTTTTCCTTTTTTTCTTTTATTTCTGTGCGAGTGCTCATACTTTCGAGTTATGAATTTTCAAAAATTCCATTTAAAAACAGACTTATTTTCAGTTATCTGTAGGACGTTTTCGGGAGTTCCTGACAATCACTGACATTATAATGCTATGATTGGCCGATCCATCAGCATGATTTCAATTTTTATTTTTCTTGAATCAAAATTTCTCAAATATGGATATAACCTAAAAAAATACTTTAATTTTCAACGTCAAATCTTTTTTTAATCCTATTGCGATTAGAATAAATTTCTCAAATTTTTGAACCAAAAATTTTTTTTTATTAAAGTTAGGGACGCATGAATATTCCCCAAATTAGACTTGCCGGAATTTTTATGGTGTCGAATTAAAAATTATCGAATTTACATTTAGTAGAATTTTAAAAAAGTAGATTTTATAATGAGCACAATTTTAATATCAAAAAATTTCTATTTGAAACAATTCTAATTTTGTAAAATTTTTATTTAACTGAACTTTGATAAAGCAGATTTTCTAATGCATCGAATTTTAAAATAACACAATTTCCATTTAATAAAATTTATATCTAGAAAAATTTTCATAGAAAAGAATTTTTATTTATCAGAATTTTTCTTTTATCAAATTTTTATTAATCCGAATATTCACTTAAAATTATTTTTATTTACAGAATTTTCAATTAAAAGAATTTCTATATAAAAAAAATTCTTATGTAACAAAAGATTTATTCAAAAAATTGATATACAATCTAATTTTTATTTAGTAGAATTGTCATTTAACAGAAATTCTAATTAATTAAATTGATAAGTCAGAAATTTTATATTTCCCCGATACTTCATTTGACAGAACTTTCACTTAATCGAATTTTCATTCGATAGAATTCTTAAAATGTCGAATTTTCATTTGATCGAACTTTCACATATACGATCATCCACTTGGCAGAAACATTTCAGCGGGAGTTTTAAAATCAACCAATCACAATTTTCTTGATAATTTTTGATTGGTTGATTTTAAAACTCCAGCTGAAATGTTTCTGACAAGTGGATGATCTGATATATGAAAGTTCGATCAAATGGAAATTCGACGTTTTAAGAATTCTATCTAATGAAAATTCGGATAAGTGGAACTTCGGTCAAATAAAGTATCGGTAAAATAAAAATTCTTTGTCTTAAAAATTTAGCTAAGTAGAATTTCTATTAAATGACAATTCTATTAAATAAAAATTAAATAAAAAATATATTATTTAATAAAAGTTTTGTTAAATAGGAATTTTGTTATATAGAAATTCTTCGAATTGGAAATTCTGTTAATAAAAATAATTTTAAATGAATATTCAGATAAATAGAAATTCGACAAAAGAACAATTCTGATAAATAAAAAATCTTTTTTACGAAAATTTTTCTAGATATAAATTTTGTTAAATTGAAATGGTGTTATTTAAAAATTCGATATATTAGAAAATATGCTTTATTGGAGTTCAGTTAAATAAAAATTCTATAAAATTAAAATTTTTTTAAATAGAAATTTTTCGATATTATATTGGGCTCATTGTAAAATCTACTTTTTTTAAATTCTACTAAATGTAAATTCGATAATTTTTAATTCGACACCACAAAAATTCCGGCAAGTCTAATTTGGGAAATATTCATGCGTCCCTAAAGTTATTATAACAATTTAAATTTTTTAGCAGTCGTAATTAAAAAAAATTTCAAAACCCAGTTGATCAATTTGAAAATAAAAAAAAAATTCTTGGTCTTAATACGTACTTTACAAAAATAATATTTGTTTTAACATTTTTTTATTTCTAATAATTTTTGAAATTATATTCATAAAATGTTACTAAAAAAATTTGTTTTTTATGTCCAATCAAAAATTTAAAAAATGTTTTATATTTCACATACATTTCTAAGTATAAAACCGTTGAGAAAAAAAATTCCATTGAATAAGAAAGAAATTTAATAGCAATATTAATTATTTAATTATATACAATATCATTTGAATATAAAATAATAATTAATTTTATTTTTTAAATTGTGCATAATTATAGCGTTTAACCTTAAACCTCTAATTTGCGTACTTATTAATATTAATAATAATTATAAAATTTTAGAGATAAATAATTTTTGTTAATAATAATCTATTTCTTATTCAGTGAGATTTTTTCTTGGGTGTTTTATACTTAAAAATCTACGTGAAATATAAAACAAATTTTTAATTTTTGATGGGACATAAGGAATATAATTTTATATTAACATTTTATAAATAATCAATTTGAAAAATTATTAAAAGCAAAAAATTTTTTAAACAATAATTATTTTTGTATAGTGTGTTTCATAACGAAAAAAATTCTTTTATAATAAAAATTCTAGAACAAATACAAAACATTTCTTTGACTAACGCATTTTTATGTGAACATTGAAATTTTATTATTTTAACTTTATTTCCTATTATATATTTATTTTATTTGTAAGTACATATAATTTAATTAATAAATTGGGATTAATAAAATCTAGCCATTTGCTGGCTCTCAGCGAGCTCACGGTCTAGATAATGTGTAAGCGAATTCTCTAGCCCATTGCTAGCTCGCTTGATCTACAACAAGTGCGCCAGTAAGTGCTAGTTAAATCGCAGCGTCACAGCTTACACTCGGTGTCTCGGCCGCAGCGTGCCGGGCGGGCCGGAGACCTTTGTTATCTGGGGTTTTACTTAAAACCAAAAAATAAAAAAATCGCGGGCCTTTGAATCAAAAATTCGAAAAGCAACGCTTTTTCGTACTTAAATCTAGCCCGCCATTTTTTATTTTTTGGTTCTAAGTAAAATCCCTAGTTTAGAGACTCACCGTATGTGTATATTTTAAGATTCTATTTGATTTTTAGGTTTCCGGTGATGCAAAATGGCGGAATGGTGTCTACCGCAAAATGCTTTCTTTTTTTTAGAGTCAACTTCACTACACTATGGACTTTTCTATGAGAAACTTCCTTAAAACTCCTCATCAAGTTAAATTTGATTAAATTATTAATTTGACACCGCAATTGACCATTATTTCTATGACTTGACATATGTTTCTTATTTGGTAAGATTATTTTAAATTGTTTGTATTTAATTTATTACTTATTATTGTTATTTTATTTATTTTTTATTTTTTACTATCTATTGTATTTTTATTTATTAATTATTGACTGTACTTATTTTTGATGTTTCACTGTATTTAATTTAACTATTTTTTTATTTTTTTGTATTTATTTATTTGACAATTTATTGTAATTTTGATAGACTCCCTGAAGAGGAAATCATTTAGATTTCGAAACGTTGGAGTAAACTTTTATTAAAACAACAATGGTCCGAATGTTATCGTTTTTATTCATACGAAACCTTCTAATTAAATTTGATATCGTATATAGATTGTGATTACATTAATATTGGAAATTATTCTCAAGTATTTAATTCACTAATCATGATTCGGAACGAAGCCTTTTAATCTCCTGAGATTTTTTTTGTATATGTCAAAAACAGTTTTTTTCAATTTTCTTTGTAAATACTGAATCAATGTGGTTTAAATTTTTCGAGATATTTGTCATCTATTTATTATCTATTGATATATTATAAATATGCTAACGTCTAATGTAATGTAACAAAAAATTTACGTGAGTGACGTGACGTTGTAGGGGGAGGGGGGTGTTCAAAGTTTGTGACAAACTATGAATATTAAATTCTTATTAACCCTCAGCCTGCTCTGGGTTATCCCTACTTCAGCGCTATAAAATGTATTTCCCATTTTCCCTACTAGGTGACCGAATTGTCAATTTTTGTCTATAATGGTCAACTAGACAGGCAGAGGGTTGACTCAACTTTTTTAAGTTATCATGTAACGGAGACTTTAGGAGTATTAAATTATTATACTATCAATAATATTCTTTTACAATACTTACAGAAAATTTTGCAATCTTTATATGGACCAAAAGAGAAGCAAGTTCTAGATCTTCACTAAAATTATTTTTTAGTGGAACACTTCTGAATCCTGTTCTTAGACATGTCACCTGTAAATCATATATTAATTTATAAAATATGTAAAAAAATAAGGAACCGAGATTCACAAAATTTCTATTATTGAAGTAATGTTTATTCTATTCAATGAAATTCTTGATTCAGTATCAAAATTTAAGGGGTTAGTACCACACCTTTTTTTAAAAAAATCGATTTTCTAAAAACTGCAGATTCTTATAGTAGATTATGTAGAAATGCTATAGAAACTATTATTTGGGTTGGAAACTTCGGTAACATATCGAAAAATGGTGTACAATGTAAAAGACATGCGTCCACGGAGCGTACCCTGGTTGAAAAAACTTGTGCATGATCGTGTACACGATCTTGGGCACTATCGTGCACCGATCTTGCACATGTTCATTCACCAGGTCATGTACAAGAGAATATGTACAAGAACATGCATATGTGACGCTCGACGAGAAAAGGGACCTAACGCGACAAAAAATTAATTTCCTGTTTTATATGCGAATCGATACTATTTGAGTTGCTCTTTCATATAGAAATGTCAAAAATAATATTTTTCTAATTACTTTTTTTGTAATAAAGCTTTAAACATGACCATGTCAATCGCGTTCCAGCACGGACTACGGAAACCATCCCCACCACCACTACTACTAGTATACTTGTTGTATCCGTGAGACGTAGGAACGTAGTAAGGTAGTGGGGCTGATATTCGCTGGCGGCCCAACAAACACGTTCTATAAATGTTATATAACAGTGAGGTCACAGTTTTATAGAACGTTTGTTACAAGCTGGTTATGAATCTGTTATATAACCTCAATGTAACAGAATTCTAGAACATTGTTACAAGGGAGTTACCGATCTGTTTTATATTATGCAAACTTCACAGTTCTGTAACAATATAATGTAACATTTCTGTAACACAATCATCACAAATGATCTGTAACTGACGTTCCAACGTAGTTCTAGAACTGTGTTCGAAAAATGTTGTGTAGCTGTTTTAAAATTGTATTGCAGATTAGTTCTGGATGACAATTGTACCTACAAATCGGACAAATCCTGCAACAGTGTTACATAACATTTCTATAACACTATAGCCACAAATTTTCTGTAACTAATGTTCCATCGCATATCTAGAATTATATCGGAAAAATGACATGTAACTGTTCTAAAATTTTGATAAAGTTCAGTTCTGGAATATATTTGTATCTGAGATTAAAAATTTTGAAGTGTTCATAAGTACCTTAACTATTTTCTATGGAATTAATAAATAAATAGTTCATTTTACTTAAGTATGTAGTTAAATTAAAAAAACTCTAAAATTTTTATATATCACATAGTATTATTGTTTTTTCTTTATATAAGCAATACAGTTTTTAAATCCTCCTTAGTCGCAAGTTATCAAATCAATTTTGTATTTATCTTCCCATGTTAAGATAGCGTAATGGTTAGCGTATTAGCCTGTGGAGCGATATTGCTATAGAACAGTTGAAATTTGACACTGTTCTAACTATGTTTATTTTATAGTTTCCTTTTTCTATTACATCAAATTTTAATATTTTTATTAAGAATAAAAATATTTTGCATGTATTTTTAGGTAATAATCTTGCAATAATGGTTATTGATTTATTTTATAGTTGTTACAAAACAATTCTAGAACTGTTACAAATACATTTGTAAACATATTCTAGATCTGTTACAGAATCTTACATATCCGTTGACTACGACATTTTGCGTATCCAGTGACTCACAGGTTTTTAACCAGTTACAGAACACCCACACAGCACAGTATATTGCTGTAAGCTTACCTCAAGCTTACATGTAATGTTTGTAAGCTAACCCTGTAAGCTTCAGGTATAAGGTCGAGGTAATATAAAAATGTCCGCCATACAGTAAGCTTACACAGTAAGGCCATGGTAAACTTACATGGCAAAGTCACTGTAAGGTTACAGTAAGCTTACACGGCAAGTTTTCAAAGGTATCAATAAATAATTTTTTAAAATATTTATGCGCAGTAGCTTTCTATGGCACTTACGAATGCGCAGTAAATTTTTTTAAGCAAACCCTACCGGGGTTTTTTATATAAATGACAAAATAAATATAATTGTGCAAAACAATTTATTGTTTACTGTACGTTGATAAATTAATACTTTGTTATTTGTTAGCAATTAATATAAGCTTACCGTGTAAGCTTACTGTAACCTTACAGTGATCTTACCGTGTAAGCTTACAGTGATCTTACCGTGTAAGCTTACAGTGCCCCTACCATGTAAGCTTACCATGACTTTACCATGTAAGTTTACCATGGCATTACTGTGTAAGCTTACTGTATGGCGGACATTTTTATATTACCTCGACCTTACCTGAAGCTTACAGGGTTAGCTTACAAAAATTACATGTAAGCTTGAGGTAAGCTTACAGCAATATACTGTGCTGTGTGGACATGTTCTCAAAAAATTTATAACAGTTCTATAACTGACCTGTAACAGTGTTTGCTGGGGCGTCTCAGCCAATCAGAACGTTCGATTTTAAACGCCTTTCCTGTATAAGGCTGCGACGCATCCCAATGCCTATCGGCTGGTTCCACAATGGGGAAGCGTATATCTCCGTACCCCTCTCTCTCATTAGGTACACGTTCACGTCCACGTCCGACGCGTTAATTGTAGACGCTGCTTAATTCTGTTTTGTCGCGTTAGGTCCCTTTTCTCGTGAAGCGTCACATGTTTATTCATGGTAACTAAAGAAATCAAGTTCTCGAGTCCATGCTCGTGTACTTGTGTAAGATAATGCGTAAGTTCATGTACATGATCTTGAGTTTTCCCTTACAGTTTATAATCACAATCTTTAATGGCTGCGCAGTAGTTTTCTAGGGCTTATATAGCTGCGCATTTTTTTCGCATGTATCAATGAAGAGTTTTTACGACCAATGTTAAAAATTACCACAAATTTTGCAAAAATAAAAAAATTAACACAATATCATGTACATGAACTTATCCTGTACAAGTTTTTTCAACCGTGACTCTTCGCGCGCATAATGTATATAGAGTTCTGAAGTATCCATATAAATTCGCTCGAAGCACCTCTAGCTGCATTTTTTCAAAAAAATGCGTTTCTTAATCTGACAATTTTACACATGTCGTGACAAAAGTTAATTTATAAACAACAATTTAAAAAACTATTGTTAATATCCGTGAAAAAAAGTCTATTATAATCAAAAGCGGATTTCAAGAAGTGGATATTTCTTTATTTAGAAAAAAAGTCTTGCAAAAGGTGACGGATTACTAAAAAGTAATCACGTTAGTAACGTGACTGAACCAATAGATGAAAAAAATAAGTTTATTTCTGGAACTGTTTTGAGAGATAATACTTATTTTTATAGTATTAAAGTTAAAGAACTCTCTAAATGTGAATTAGTCAAAATTTTACTAATTGAATTAGTAACACCATATTTTACTAATGAATTAGTTGTTTCATCACTTTCTACTAAAAAAATAGTCACTTTTCATTACTGAATTAATTAGTAGTGCTTTTTCTACTAAAAAAATAGTCACTTTTAAATTTTAATGACTAAATGAATTGTAGAGATTTTCTTCCAATTTGTTAATCATGATATGTGCATACATCAAAATAAGCAAAAATAGCATAATTGAAAATTTTTTAATTTATTGTACAACATTTTTCTGTTCCAACCAAAGAAAAATCAATTTAACAAATGCACAAGTAATTATGAAAAAAATATTTATTTTTCTTTATGTCCAGACATAACAGTTAGGTTTTGTAGGTTATATTTACCAAAATTGACATATAATTAATTTAGTAATATAATATTAATAATGATGATATTGATATTTTGATCAAATTGAATGTGTTCAAACTCAGTTCTTCAAATGTTTGTATAGATCCCTAGCGGATGGGTTCAACGCGATTTGAACGGAATAGCGTTGAAACACCGTTGGGAACACAACGGTCACTAAAAATGTTATTTAAACAATAAAATATAATAAAGTATTTATTGGTATTTGTAGAAAAAGTGTTCATGAGTAATTTAAGACCTTATTTGTATCAATTTAATACGAAATAAGTGAAATAAAAGATAAAATATGGAACACTGTTATATCACCCACACAGCACATAATATTTTCAAAATATTTTTGAAATATTTCACTGAAATTTTGAAATATTTCAATGCAAAGTCCTTGAAATATTGCTGCAAACAGGAAAATGTCCGCTTATGAGGAAATATTGATGGTAAACTTGAGAAAATATTTCACTGAAATATTCCTGCAATATTACAAATAACAACTTCTGAAATTATTCAGGAAATATTTTACAAAATGTCCAAAATTTTTTGACACATGAAATCAATAGGTACCCTGGCGGATTCGATTTACCTAAAATCGACCCAGCTGGGTCGAATCTAAGTCGAATTTAGGTAATTATCAAAAAAAAGCTTTAAATTGATGAAAATTTATAAAAATTAGTATTGTGAGGTTAAATGAACATTCATAGAGTTAATTTTTGTAAGAATTTTAATTATTAACGTGATAAATAATAAATAATTACTTGATATGTGCAAGTGGTAACTGTAGATTTTAACTCGTTGTCAGTTTTCATAATATTTTCAGAAATTAGTGTAAAATGTGTGAAAAAATAATTTATATTTAATAGAAATTGCAAATTTTATTAAATTATTTTATTATTTAACAATCACATTTCATAATAATTGCAATTTAATTAAAAAATAACAGTTTTCTTAAAAGTGACAAGAACTCTATTATACCGACCACACACGGAACAGCGGAACGCGCGCCAAGATTTGAAAAGAGTTACAAATTTTAAACATTCATTAAATAGAAAATATGCAATTTTTTTCTTTATTTATAAAAAAAACTTTAGAATTTTGTTAAAATAATAAAAATTAAGCTGATATATTTTTCTTAAATTTTTACTTATAACTTTTTAAAAAATTCTTAAATAAAAGATCAAAAAATTTAGTTAAATTTGTATTTTGCCATCATAATTTTTTAACAAA